CGAAGCCCCCGCAGCGCTGTCGATCCCAAGATTGGTGGCACTGTGGGCGTCTTGGGGTCCCGCATACTTCCCAAGGGCCCTCCTAATTTGCTTTCGCAGTCTGGCGGTAGAGGCAATCACCTGAGCTTTGCGCAGCGCCAGCTTGCACTCGAGCTCTTCTGTCACCAGTGCTGCAAGCCTAGCCGCTGAGTGTTGCAATTGCCGTACTAGGGCCTGGGGGTCTCTGTGCTGCTGTCCCAGGAACAGATCATCGATGAAGATCTGGAGGTCCGTGCCCTTGGAGTTTGCTTCAGTCCAGGTGTCCAGGGGTCTCAAACTGTAAACTTGTACCAAAAAAGTGGCCCAGGCACATCCAGCTGCAATACCGCGGGTGGGGTGGTCCACCAGCTGTACCAAGTCTCTGGTAGCCACCAGTCTCGTGCTACTATACTGGCTTAAATCACCTTCAGCAGGACGCTGCTAAAGCCGGTGTCGTGGGCCCTCTCTATCAGCTTCTGGTGGCTGGTGTGCTCATAGTAGTTGCTGAGGTCCCACAACACCGCGCCTGAACGGAGTGGATCTTGACAGGTCGCTCCGTTCTCAGCCGTGAGGCCCTGGCGAAAGACTGTTTCGGTGATGCTCTTGCCCGCCTGGTGGGCCAAGAAAGGTCGGCGGTGCTTGGCCTCCCATTTGTTTGCTTCCATTTGTCGGACCTTGGACCAAATTCGGTAAAGCCATGGCATCATACCTATTCCTCGGAACTGGGCCACGGTCTTGGCCTCTGGCTTCGCTTTGGTCTTGGGGATCAAAACCGAGACAGCAGCCTGCAGCTGGGTGGGCATAGCACTTATCTTCTCAACCATGTGTAAACATCGGCAGACCTGCGCAGCCTGCTCCAGATTCAAACTCTGAAAATGCTTCGGGTGGAATCCGTCCCATGTCGAAGCAGTCGCATGCGAGAAATGTTTGGCGGCGTCGATGAGAACCCGGGGCTCGATGGGTGGCAAACTGGGCTCATGGGGGCCAGCGGGGACATGGTAGTGGGGCCTGTGGTAAGACGTGTCCCAAAGATCTTCGAGTCTCTCAGCCTCGTGCTCCAAGACGCGTGAAGGTCTCCCAGTCCAAGTGCCTTTCCAGGGGGGCCTCCTTGGGGCTCCACGCATCTAGCATCTTAGTCCAACGGTGAGCCCGCCCTCAATTTCCTTGCATTCCAATGTGGACCCACTCACGCCAGGCTTTGTTGGCAGATCGATTTTCCAGGTCGATCTCAATATTTAGGCTCTTGTTGATGGGCTCCAAAACATCATCCAAAACTTGTCTCCCGTGGGGCATCTCCAGGACCTCAGCTTCAACGTCCAGGACAAGGGAATTGAGGGTCTGGTGGGTAGCCTCTAGGCACTCGCGGAGCGTCTCTATCTCGCAAAACTCGTTCGGTGGGTCCTCTAGGCACGCGATGAGCTCGGCAAGGGCGTTAGCATCTAGCTTCTCGAGGGTGAGGTAGCAATGTTGCACGACATTCTGAAGCCATCGGAGCGGGCCTGCCTGGGATTTCCACGCCACCCGATGAGTCTTCAGAATCTGTTTCGCTTGGACCCACTTGACCCTAGGAGGGCGCGCTCTTGGTCTAGAACTGCGTTTCAAAACCGTATCAGTCAAACCCGCAATCGTAACTTCCAAATCCCTGGCCGGGTAGTGATAAACCTCATCGAGCGCCCGTTGTTTTCCCCCTTGGATCGGTCTCTCAATGCTCCTGTCGAGGATGGCTTCGGCAGCGTCTAGGGCAGCTTCTATGGCATTCCACTCGCGCTCTGGCAGTCTGGGGCCAAAGACAGGCTTGGTAGGTAAACGCTGCGGCTTGCAAAAAATAGGGATTGTGAAATCCTCGCCAATCCCGATCTGCACACTGGCAGGGCGATGTGGTGAGAGGGGATAGGAAACATGGACATGAGGTGTGTGTAGCTCATGCTGAAGACATCCACTGTAAACAAAGTAATCCAACCATGACTGAGAAGTCTTGTTTCTGCATGCCGGGGAGGAGGGATGTAAGATCTGCGTGCCTGCACGCTGTATGTAGTCGTTCTCCTGCAGCTTGCTAGGACTCATGTTGTAGTCCCCTGCTACAAGAACGGGAATCTGGTATTCATGCTGAAGTATGGCGGTGGCCGCCAAGAGGTTCAAATTTGTCTCGTTCAGACCTGTGCTGACCTGCATGTAGACGGAAAGAATTCCTATGGCTCCAAGCCCAGGCAGCTCTACTCTTGCTCCGACCAGGCGTCCCTGAGGTACCACGTCCTGAGCTTCCCTGGGCACTTTCATGTCCTGGATCCCAAAGTCCCGTCCACTCCTGATCAAAACGCAAACTCCAGAAGTCGGGGTCCCCGTAGAGCTGAATGTGCCTGTCTAAAATAAGGCTTTCCATCCGTGCCGTTCACGCCATTGACTAGCATAAACGATGGACTGCTCTGTGCATAGCTTAGTCTCCTGCGCACATATCGCACTGTCGTCGCCGGAGGTAGCTGAGCGAATGTACGTCTTCACTTGCTGCCAGCAACTGCCGTTGATCGTGGTGATCCTCAGGCTACCCGCAAGGCGGGCGATCGCCACTCCTTTGGCCAGCTGAGGATGTTGCAGCCGTCGCCGAGAGCTTGAGCTTCTTGCTGACCTCTTCGCTGTCCAACTTCGCCTTGGCAAGATCCTCCTGGCTGCTCTGGAGCGCATCAGCAACCCGCTTGCGTGCATCCTCCATCGCTTCATCATCTCCTGGGACTGGTAGAGCAACCGCCAAGTCGTCATCGTCCTCAGCCTTCTCGCCAACCTTGGGGCAGGGGTCGGCCTCTTCATCTCCACTCGCCTTAGCGGCCTTTGCCGCAGCATCCACGCTCTTCTGCTTCGTCTCGATTGACCCCAGCACCTGCGCCACCGCCAGCAAGTGCTGGTCGAGTTCTTCGGGGATGTGGTCCGTTGGCTTGTCGATTCTGGTCGCGATGAGCGTCCGCATCGCCTCGGATATGGGCACCTCCTGCACAGCCTTCTGCGCGGCCGCCTGCTGGGCCGCCTGCAGCTGCACCTGGAGCTTCTGCACCTCGCCAGTCGCCTGACCGTACTCCTCAATCGCATTCTTGTGCTTGTCGGCCATCGTGACCAGCTGCTGAGTGAGCTGGTTGACCATGTTCTTGCACTGCCCATGCTTGCGCTTCGCCTGCGCCAGCTGGTCGGTGAGGCTCTGGACCTGTTGATCAGGCGTTTTGTCTTGTAGTGCCACTTGCTTTGCTCGTCTGAACGCTTCGACCGCATCCTTGTACTCCTGACTGGCGTCGCCCTTCCACTGTTTCCAGAAAGTCACCTGCACCTGCGCGAGCTCGATGTGGTTCCCGTTGGAGTCATGCTGCTTGGCGCCGTCCATGACCTTGTCGGTGTTGGCTTCCTCGCGAGCAGGTAGTTCTTCTGCGCCAGCTCCTTGGGGGTCACGAGAACGACCACGCCATCGTCCCCCTCGTCTTCCGCCTGCTTTCTGCCCAGCCTCTCGTTCAACTTCAAAGTTGACTGACCTCGGGCGACCTGGTCGTACTCCCCCACATCCTCCTGGGGGCTTGTCATCACTGGTAGCCATCTTCTTCGTGGCGAGCTTCGAACCACACCGCGTGCAGTGGGAGCCCCCACGATCGGCCCAGGCCCAGCCGCTGCAGCCGTGCCACGGGCACACCATATACTTGCCACGCGCCATGCCGATTCCTTCAAAACCACTAGGACGGTACCCAACACGAGTGGTGCAAGAAGGCCCTTCGGCCTGGGCGGGCTGGCCACGCGCTCGCGTGGGCGGTACGTGGCCAAAACAATTGAGCCTTGGCGACGGAGTGCCAAGGCTAATCGCTGGTCCTCGGGCGTCTATAGCCCTTCACAACGTTTAGCCTTGAGCCAAACTGGCTACGGGGAGGAGGGGGGGGAGGAGGAGGAGGAGGGAGGAGGAGGAGGAGGAGGAGGAGGGGAGGAGGAGGAGGGGGGGAGGAGGGGGAGGAGGGGGAGGAGAAGGAGGAGGAGGAGGAGGAGGGGAGGAGCTGGAAGGAGGAGGAGGAGGAGGAGAGACGAGGAGGAGGAGGAGGAGAAGGAGGAGGGGAGGAGGAGAGGAGGAGGAGGAGGAGGAGGAGGGGAGGGAGGAGGAGGAGGAGAGGAGGAGGAGGAGGAGGAGGAGGAGGAGGAGGAGGAGGAGGAGGGGGAGGAGGAGGAGCAGGAGGAGGAGGAGGAGGCGGAGGAGCAGGAGGAGGGGGAGGGGGAGGGGGAGGAGGAGGAGGAGGAGGGGCCGAAACCCACAGGGAGAGTTCTTTTGGAAAAAGAACCAAAACCGTAATAGTCTTGAACGCCAGGCACCCCTGCGATGAATCGACCGGGGGCGGCGGATTGAAGACGCCTACGGCCCATCCCGCCACCGTGCCTGGGTTGTGGGCCATAGGCCTCCAGGATGTTCGTTAGGATGTCGCTGGGGGCCTCTCGGGGCTTTTCGGGGCCGTTTCGAGGCCTATTCGGCGCCGTTTGGCTGCCTCTTGGGGCGTCTTGGGTGCCTCTTGGGGCTCTCTTGGGGCCTCCCCCTCCCCTCCCCTCCTCCCCGCACGGGTCACATTTTTGAGGCCACGGCCTTCACGCCATGCCCTGACGTGCACGGGCGGGTTCCCTTGCGGAGCGCGCTCGACTCTGGCGTTCGCTTCGCTCCACTTCCCCAACCATCGGTCGCTCTTCTCCCTTATGCTCTCCTCTCTTCCTCGTCCTGCCCCCCCTCGGTATCGTTTAACCAATCCCCATCCCCATCCCCATCCCCTTCGAGACCCCCACCAAATTACCACCCCAGTTGGGGATACACTCCTCGAGACCCGAAGGCAACGACCCATAATCCCCATCTGGCGGGGTGAATCGGCCACTGGGGCCCAGGCCACGCCGCCGGGGATGGGGATCGGTGAAACGACACTTCCCCCCCCTCCCCCCTCCCGTCCCCCCGCCGTCCCGCGCCCCCCCCCTCCGTCGCCTCGCTGGAGGCCGGGGGCGCCGCCCTGGCCCCCGCGGCGGCGGGCACCTCGCTGGTGCCGCGCCGCCGGGCGCCGCAGCGGCGGTGCAGGGCGCCGCGCGTCGCGACGATCCCCCGGGCCATCACCATCACGACACCCTTCGCCAGGCTTCCTGGGCCTCCCAGATGGGGCCGGAGGTGCTGGGGTCGGAGGATCGCGCCGCATCGCCGGTGCACCGCCGATGCGGCTCGATGTGCAGCCCGATCTGCTTCACGTTGACGTCGCCGATGCACCGCCGACGTCGACAATGCATCGCCGGCGCATCGCGGATGCATCGCTGATGCATCGCCAATGCATCTCCGACGTATCGGCGATGCGGCGCGACCCTCCGACCCCATCTACTCCGACTTCATCTAGGAGGCCTCTGAGGTTCGTGGTGGACGCGGAGGGCACGGCCATCGACCTCCCAGCCGCCGCCAGGGCGCACCTCGACGCGCTCCGCGAGCGTCGCTGCAAGAGGGACCGAGCGGCGGAGGGGCACGCTGACGCGCCCGCGGCCCTCGTGATCTACGGGAAGCCCATGAGGAGCAACCTGGAGGACGTCACTACTTGTAAGTCGGGCCTGTCCCTCTACAGGGGGAAGATTCAAAAAGAATCAAAAATTGGTCTGGGGACGATGTTTGACCATGTTTGGCCATGTTTGAGCATTGTTTTGTATTTTTTCCCATTTTTTCGTCCAATATCCGCCTGTAGGGGAACCTGCCCGACCTGACACTACTGGTCAAACCACCCCAACCCGACCCGAAGGCCCCAGACTCCTCCAAACTTTGGGTTGGTGTGTGCGTGTGTGCGGTTTCCCTCGCGCTGCCTCCATGTTCTGGAGTGCCCCCCGCCGGTACAATCAACCCGCATAGCAAAGATGGGCAACCTTCCCAAGGGTGCCCTTGCATCCCCCTCGGCCCATCCTTCGCCACGTTCGTTGGCCGCGCCCCGCTCGAAGAGCTTCGAATTGGGCGTCCAAGGCCCTTGCATCCTTCTCGCGCACCCTCACTGCACGGGTTGACTGTAACTGACGATCCCCGCGGGGCGGTCTGGGTGGGCAGCCAGGACGCGCTCTCGGACCTGGGGCTGTGAGGCCCCCCGGGCGCCGCCCGCGGGGGGGCCCGCGCGCCGGCCCGGTGCCCGAGCGCCGAGCGCCCGCCTCCAGGAATTCGACACCGAATTCGGCGCCCGGCCGGCAGGGTCGAGGGGCGCGAGCGGTGCCGCTGGAGGGTGCGGTGGGGTCGCCCCCAGACCTCCAACGCAATGAGACAATCAAGTTGGAGGTTTTTCTCGATGTTGGGCCTCTAGAGGCCCCCGCTGGGCACTGGTCCTGGGGAATGGGTCGAGACTTCCGGGGACCCCGCATTGAAAACATCATGGCATCGGATCTCTGGGTCCGTCGGGGCGCCGCCCTCGTCCCGCGGGGTCGGCTCGGAGCTCCTGCTCCCCGTGCGTGCCCCCTGCGGCCTGTGGGGGCGGGGGCGGAAGGGGGGGGGCGGAGGTGGGGAGAGGGGCAAGCTGGGCGCGCCCGCGCCCTGCCCGACACCCTGCCCCCCCCCCCCATCCCTTCCCTATTATTGCGCTGGTTCTTCTATCGGCTGGCGGGTGTCGTAGCGGGCCGGAGCCCCCAAAGGACCCCATGGTGTCCTGCGAAGTCAGAAAAGGGGAGCGGTGCACATTGGAGGAGGAGGAGGAGGAGGAGGAGGAGGAGGAGGAGGAGGAGGAGGTGGAGGGGGAGGGGGAGGGGGAGGGGGAGGGGCAAGCTAGGTGCGCTCGCGTCATATCTGACGTCCTACCCCTCCCTCCCATCCCTTACCATGGCGCTGATTTTCTCTATCCGCGGACGCGTGTCGTAGCGGACCTGTGGCTCCGCGCGCGCGTACGTAATGGGTGGTGGTGCGCGTGCGTGCGTGCGTGTGTGCGTGTGTGCGTGGTGGTGGTGGTGGTGGTGGTGGTGGTGGTGGTGATGATGAGTGGGTGGGTGGGTGGGTGGGTGGGTGGGTGGGTGGGGGGGGGTGGGTGTGTGTGTGTGTGTGTGTGTGTGCGTGTGTGCGCGTGTGCTGTGGCAGGGCACGGGAAAATGACGCCAGCGCTGCAGCGGGAGCACGAGTCGAAACGAGCGGAAGCGCGGAAATGAGGCCAGCGCTGCAGCGGGAGCACGATTCGGAACGAGCGGAAGCACGGAAATGAGGCCAGCGCTGCAGCGGGAGCACGATTCGGAACGAGCGGGGCCCGAAAATGAGGCCGGCGCCTCAGCGAGAGCAGCATTTTGAAAAAAATGCAGGCGAAAACCGAACTCCCGGGAATCCTGTGTGTAAAAAAACAGTACGCGGGGGGGGGGGTCGGCTACTTTCAGGCCGTCATCGGGGGAAGAGGGAGAGTAGTATTCATATTGAGTAATTGTAAAGGGAGGAGGTGGCGGTGGATGAGCAAGAGGATGGACATGAGGAAGAGGATGACGATGAGGACGAGGAAGAATGAAGACGAGGAGGAACAGCAGCAGCACGAGCAGCCGTGGGAGGAGCGGGATGAGCAGGAGGACTAGGGAAAGGCGGAGGAGGGGAAAGGAGTTGGGCGACAACGGCGAGGAAGGACTCCGATCCAGGCCCGCGCTGGGGTGATAGCGCCAGTTTGCACGACACAGCAGAGCATCGATCCTACGTAAAATGTAGCTAATGCTGCCCCAGGAACACGATGGTTGTGAATGGAGCTCCCTTGGGGGCGCTTGACCTCCTCCTCTTTTTCCTGGTCCTTTTACTGCTCCTCCACCTCCTCCTCCTCCTCCACCTCCTCGTCCTCCTCCTCCTCCTCCTTCTCCTCTCGTACACGCTCATCCACCCTCCTACTCCTCCTCCTCCTCCTCCTCCTCATCTCATCTTGCTAACGCCCTCTCATCTTGCTAACGCCACCATTCGCTCCTCCTCCTCCTCCTCCTTCTCCTGTTCCTCCTCCTCCTCCTCTTTCGCATCCCCCTACTACCATCAGAGCCATCTTACGCCATCTTGGATGTTCCACCCCAGCGCGACTTAGGACATGTCCAGACTCATACGGAGAGAGGATCGGCCACCCTATTCGAGGGTGAAGCAGACATTGATTTGGAACATCTGATCCGCTAAACCACCTGCAGTCAGAACTCATTGTTCGATGCAGTGCTCTAGTGACGCTGCCCTTGTCTCTTTGCCTACCAGGCCCATTCATGGCACCCCGGGCCTGGCGCCAATGCCATTGCTTCAACATGGGGGCCCAAGGGGCGTTGAGTCTGCATCTTGTATCGTGGGCTGGTAGGGTTGTTCACGGTCGGATCCGATCCGCTCCGATCCCCCAACTTCGATTCCGATTTCGATCCAGGTCGGATTCGGCACGAACCGATCTCCTCTCTGGCATGCAGGGGCCAAGCCCGACCCGCGATCCCAAACTGTCCGACCTCGATCCGATTCCGCGCCGATCTCGGGCACGAGGCGATCCTTTCTCGATGCGGTCCTGTTACGCGGTTCAGCACGGCTCAGGCCTGCCCGGTTGGGCCTTCACCGTGCGCCGCTCGTCCGCCCTTCGGCGTAACGTCGGGCGGGGCTAGGACGAGGATCAATCCGGCCCAGAGCGTTCTGGAACGCTCTGTGAGGGCCGCGGTGCCCGAGACATTCTCCAGGGCCGCAGAAATTCAGAGATTCTCGATGTGTACTCACCCGATGTTTGATCCTCGTCCTGGCTTCGTCTTAGAACGCGGGGCGCTCGTTTCCTCTTGTGCACGCGGCTGCTTTCTCACCTCCCCGCCTCCCCTCTCCGGGCTTACGCCCCCTCCCCCGCCCCCTCCCCCTGGAAGGTTGCGAGCTGCGAGGAAGAGGAGGGGGGGGAGAAGGAGGGAGATGAGGTGCAGGTGGAGGAGGAGGACATACGAGGAAGGAGGGGGAGAGGATATATGCAGATGCGCATGTTTGCATACATGCATACATACATACACGATACATAAATACGTACACACATCAGTCCACACACACATACATACATATCTGCATACATACATACATACATACATACATACATACATACAAACATCCATACACACAAACAAACACACAAACAAACATACATACATACTTACAAACATGCATACATGCATACATACATACATACATTGCCCGTGTGGACCCTCCTGGAATACGAGCGACATACATACATACATACACACATACCTGCGTACATACATACATACATACACATACACCTACACATATGCGTACATAAACAAATACATATACATATACATATGTATATGCATATACATATACATATACATATACAAATACATATACACATACATACATACACGTACAACATACATACATACACATACAACCTACATACATACATACATACATACATACATACATACATACATACATACATACACACATACATACATACATACATACATGCATACATACATGCATGCATGCATGTATGCATACATACATACATGCATACAACCATACATGCATACAACCATGCATGCATGCATGCAAGCATGCATGCATGCATGCATGCTTGCGTGCATACATACATACATACATACATACATACATGCATACATACACATGCATACCTACATACATACGTATACACGTACGTACGTACGTACGTACATAGCTACATCCGTGCATCCATACACACGTACACACAACCATACACGCGTTAATGCATGCATGCTTACACATACAACCATCCACACATGCATACACGTATACACATGCATGTATGCATACATGCATGCGTACATCCATATTCACGCAATCATACACAATTACATGCATGCATGCATGCATGCATGCATGCACAAGTTCGTTCATACACGCATACATGCACACGTACACACGCACACATCCATCAATCCATCCATCCATCCTTCCATGCATGCATGCATGTATGCATACATACAGTCCCACCTACCTACCTACCTGGCCACCTACCCCCTACCTACATACAGCCATGCATGCATGCGCATATGCATGCACACATACCGACAGACAGGCAGGCAGGCAGGCAGACAGACAGGCAGACAGACAAACAGACACACAGCCAGGAAGCCATTCAGACATAACGACATCATACATGCATGCTGCAGACATGCATACCGCATACACATACATTTATACATGTATACATGCATGCATCGATGCACCCACACATACATGCATACATGCATGCAGATACACACATACATACAGACATGCAGACATACATACATACATACAGGCATACATACATACATACATACATACATACATACATACACACATACATACATACATACATACATACGTACATACGGGCATTCCAACATACCGACATACATACATACGTACAGCCACACATTCATGCATACCTGCCTGTCGACCTGCCTTCCTACATACATACATACACACATGTCCGTCTATACATACAGGTATGCTTAGATCGAGAGAGATCGAGAACGAGAGAACGAGAGAGAGAGAGAGAAAGAGAGAGCGAGAGAGAGAGAGAGATAACGAGAGAGATAGAGAGACAGAGTATGATAAAGCATATAGATAAGCAGCACACGAACACGCATGCAATGCAATGCGATACGTATGATCCGGGGGGATCTGGGGGGATGCCATGTATACACATATCGAGATCTTATGCACGTGAAGTATATGGGCATATAATTTAGAGATGGGAAGGGGTGGTGAAGATAGGGGATGGAGGAGAGGATGATTATGAGGTTGAATGAGGAAGGGGAAGGAACATTATACTGACATATGAAGAGCAGAAACAATCATGCAGAGGGGATGATGAGACAGGAAGAAGAGCAGGATGAGGAACGGGAGGTGGAGTTGGATTGTAATGAGGAGGAAGAGCAGCAGTAGCAGACAGGAGAGAGCAAGAGGGATCGAAGAGGGAGTGCGCTAACAAGGGGCGATGTGGGAGCGAGGGGTGATGCGGGAGGGAGGCAGAGAGGACGGACAATGGACTCCCCCCTCTCCCTCCCTCCTCTGCCCTCCGTCCTGCCCCCCCTCCCTCCTGCCCTCCCTCCCTCCTCCCATCTCCTCCCTCGGCCCGTTGGCCTCCGAGCGGGTCCCCACCCCGGCCACACAGGGGGATCCCCCGGGCACTGGGATTCTGGTCCGAGGTTCCGCCTCGTGCAGCGCCTGGGCCTGGCTTTTTCTTGAGGCTGGGCCTGGCGGCACTCCTGGCGCGCAGCGCTCGTGGCGCACACGGCACCACACGCCACTGGCCAGGCTGTGCTTCCGAGTTCATGGCAAACTTGATCGGTGAGGTGAGGGCTGCGAACGCCGAGGTGGTCGTTGCGGTGGTGGTCGCGGCCGCCCCGATGGTGACCGTGTCCCGCTGTGCTGGTCGTGGCGGGCGTCGCGTAGGTGGTGGCCGTGGTGGTGGTCTTGGCGGCCGTGGCAGCGGCCGCTCTGCCGAGGTGGTGGTCCCTTCCTCTGCCCCCCTTCCCCTCTCCCCCTCCCCCTCGTCCCCCCTCGTCCCCCCTCCCCCTCGTCCCCCCTCCCCCTTCCCCCTTCCCCCTCCCCCCCCCTTCCCTCCCCCCTCGTCCCCCCTCCCCCCTCGTCCCCCCTCCCCCTCTCCATCCTGCATCCTTCTGCCCTCGCCCTGGTTACACGGGGCGGCTGCTGCCCCTGGCTTATGTCGCGGCGGCACGTGCGCTCAGGCGCGGCCGTCTGGCGCCCGCCGCGGCAAGACTGGCAGCCACCGGAGGCTTTCCGAGAGAAATGCGCAGCTGCTTCCTCTCCATTGTGGCCCCTGCGTCCTGTCCCCCCCCCTCCGTCCGCTGCCCCCTTCCCTGCCCCCCTCCCCCCCTTCTCTCCCCCACTTCTCTCCGTCCCGCCCTCGTCCTCAGTTTTGTTTGTTTGTGTGTTATCTCTCTCTCTGTCCCTCTCCCTCTCTCTCTCTCGCCCTCTCTCTCTCTCTCCCTCTCTCTCTATATATATCGCTCTCTCTTTCTCTGGTCTCGGTTCGAGGGTCTGTGACCCACGGCGTAGCCAGGACACGAAACGCCCAGCATAATTATTGATCGCATCGCGAGACTGTACACACGCCAACCCAGCGTGTGACTGATTTGTGTCAACCACCGTTTTCCTTATCCACGCGCGCGCGCCATAGCTCCAAACGGTCCAAACGGTGAACGCCGTACGATTTCAGTTCCAGCACAGCCCAAGCCAACAGGCAATGGCCGCAAGGAGGCAGCCACCTTTTCACGACCGCCAAGGCAGCAATCTGGCGCGCAAGGACACCTGTGCCGTCGCACTCCAGAGTGGTGGCGGCGTCGACCGAGCAGTCGCTGCACACAGGGAGCTCGCTCACAAACGCCAGACCGAACCCGACATCGTCTACCAACGACACCCCCCCAGACCAGGTCAAGCTGAGGGGCGAGCTGATGACACTGTGCGGAAAAGCTAAGGTCGGCGACGCAGTGTCGCATCACTCCCTGACGCACACAGCGGGCTCCAGCCGTGACCCGCCAGGGTCCGCGGCCTCGGCCCACGCCCAACGGGGCACTGACCTCGCCCCAGCCATCAGCCTTGAAGCGCCAAGCTGAGATGCCCCTTCGCCCTGGCGCCCACCAGGGCCGAGGACGGTACATTGCACACCAGCAGCATCTCTTGGCACGCGCCAGAAGAAGGACCACCGCCTCCTGCAGCAGATTCGCTTGCAGGACAAGCCCCGCGCCGTGGCCGTTCTGGGACCCGTCATCCTCCTCTTTCTCCTCAACCTCCTCCTCCTCATCTTCCTCCTCCTCCGTTCCGGAGGACGGCAAAGGCTACCAAGCCGTCGCCAGGCTACATCCAGGGAGCCGTATACCGATTAGGCCACACAGAGGTCAAAAGTGCTTGCAGACCGCGGTGCAAGTGACACCTGGGCCCAGCAGACAGTGTTGCATGGATCCGCGGAGCCGTCTGTGAAACTTATGCGGTTGCCGTTGCATCTTCTCTCCAGTAGCCTTTCGCCGCGCAGTTCTCGGGGGCGGCACCGAGCGGCGGCACGCGGCAGCCAAGAGGGACAGGCACAGCCAAGTCCAGGGCCAAAGAACGCCACAAGGCAACCACCCAGGATCATGCAAGCAAGCAACTCGATTACGTCCTCACACATGATCGTTTTCCTGTTCATTGTTTTGCCGATCGGCGCGGGCCCTCGCACCCCCTCCCCACCCCACGGAGTAGATGTTGGCTGCTTGTGGCGCCTGTTCCGGGCAGGTGGAGTTTTCCCCACAGGACGCCCTGTTGCAAACAATCGCCCTAAGCAGAGGTCTGGAGCCAGACCCCCCCCCCCCCGCAGCTCCGCCCAATGTCGAAACGCCGCATCGAAGACGTTTACCATACGCCTTCACAGCCAGATTTGCTTCTCTCTTCCGCGCGGCCCCCATCCAGGAACCCATGAAACTGCTACGACACCACGGCATGATGACAGGCAAACGGAGGCTCACCGCTAGTTGTGGCATCAGGCCAGCCGACGCTACCCTGGCGGTAGCTGCCCATTCGGATACTGCACCACGGGCAGCACGCAGGGAGACCTTTTGGGTGGCCCGGACGGGAAGTCTCCGCGCACCTAATAGTCGACGAAGATGTAGGGGCCCAGCGATAATCTCAGAATATTTCACATTGTGGACGACGATCA